CCGCCCGCCGTACCGGCGGCACCTACGGTTCGGTGAGGCTGCGGATGCGGAGGGTGTCGACCGAGGGGACGCGGGCGCTGCTGGAGAACCAGATCAGCCCCCCGGCCCCGCCCCCCGAGGCACCGGGCTCCTAGCCCCGCATGCCTCGGGGACTCCGTGCTGCCCTGGGGACCCCTCACCGCCGGCAGAAGTGGGGCTCCCCTTGCTGCGCCCCAACACCGATGCCACCCGGTGAGGCTTTGCCCACCGTGCCTGCCCGGCAGCCTTGGGCCACCTTCCTCACCTCTCCGGACCTTTCTCGGATAAGGGGTCCGTCCAGCAGCACCGGAGCGATGCGGTTTTGGGATGTCCTGCTGGACCGCAGGGGCTCTGCTGGGCTGTTTCCCACCAGCAGCACCGGGGTAACGCAGCCTTTGGATGCCCCTTTCACCTCCCCAGCTCCTTCCTGGATGGGTGCTGCCCACCAGCATCATGGCAACAGCTCCTTCGAGACACCCATGGGATTTCCATGCCATGGCCCTGTTGCAACCTGGGCTGGACACGAAGCCAAGCTGGGGTGGCTGCTCCTCTTTGGGATGGACTTTCTCATTTTCTGCCATCAGTGACCTTTTTTAGCAATAGTTTCACGTAAAACTCTGTGGTGTAGAGTTGGTGCTTGCACCTCCCTGGGCAGAAGAGAAGGAGACAGCAACCACGACCACCATCTGTGCGGCGGGGTCCAGCCCCCCGCCACCCTCCCAGCCCTCACACCCCACCAGCCCCACTCCGGAGAGTGGGATGAAGGCTGGGACACACGCCCGCACCGCCCCGAGCATCCCGCTCCCACCAGCAGCCCTGGAACGGCCTCCTCAAAAATCATGGTGCTCTGTCTGGAGGAAAGAGGACGATTCCCAACGCCTTGGAATGATGTGGTTGTTCTGTGCCCGTGCCCGCCGGGGTGCCCGTGCCTGAGCCTTTGTGCCGATGGCGAGGGCCATTGTCTGTGGGGTGAAGGTAAAATTGCATCTCGGGAATTAAACATGAAGCATCATTAAAGCACAACGTTCTGTGGAAAGAAAAAATCGGTATGAGCAGGATGCTGAGAGAGGGAAATAATTATCCCATAGGAAAATGCAGACACACAAAAGGTGGTGTTTGTCACCAACTGCCACCAGGTTTTAATCCATCCCATAAACTACTCACTTCAAATGTTTCCAGGGGGAGGCAAATCTCTCGAGACAGCCTGACACAAGAGGAAAGTCATTTTTACACACGATGTGATTGCCTGGGTCAGGTTTTGTTTCAGGGCTTCCAGCGTCCCCCTCATATGCTGGGAACAGTATCCTCCACCCAGCGTTTTCTAACGCTTCGCAGCTGATTCCTCCTGTTTGCTGCAAAGGGCCATGTCCCCCTCTCTCCATCACCACGTCACCCGTCCACGCTCCGTATTTATTGTAGGGTCCTGAGAAACAACCTTGAATGGCCTCACGCCCGCAGCCCTGGCACTACCCCATGCTTGGGGTGCTCTGCTTTGCCCCAAACAGGCATCACCTCTCCCCACGGCCCTGGGTTGAGCGGCCACGAGCAGCAAGATGGGCACTGGGAGGTGGGGGTGATGCCATACCCAACGATGAGGGGAAGGGTCCTGCCGAGGGGGGCACCGAGGGCAGCTCAGCAGGCAGCAGACACCAGCCCCGGCCCCACTGCCTCCTGCAAAGCCAAGGATGGTGGCAGCTGCCTCCTTCTTTGCACGGCTGCACCCCAGGCAGGTGACCCTGACACCACGGGGATGATGGGCAGGATGGCCAGAGGGAGAGGTGCCGGGCAGGGCACGAGGCTGGCTCTCCTCTGGCAATGCCACCACACCGGGCCATGGAGTATGGTGTAAGGGCAGGCAGGTGGTGGGCAGCACATCCTCATCCCCTCGCTCAGCACAGAGGTCTCCAGTCCACCAGCTCTGGGGCTTTGGGGCTGTCCCTGCTTGTGTGAGGGGTGGGCAAAGAGGGGACAGCCCAGCACGCCTTTTCCACTCCCATTTAATGGGAGCTGCTTTGTTTTCCTGTCTGTGCAACACACACCGGCTCCTCCCTCGCGCCGTGCACGGGACACGTGGGATCCCAGGGACGGAACATCGGAGCATCGTCTGCAGGGTAATTAGCAGCACCGGGGGGCTCTGCCTTTGGGAGCGTGTGGGGCAGGTGCCGCTGGGCTGGGCGGGCTGGCAGATGGCCTGAAGGACTCTCCGGGGATCTCAAGCCATTACCAATAATCCAGTGTCTTTCTTCAAACATGACGTGGAAGCGCCCCGCGGGTGCTGCGGGAGGAGGGAGAGCTGTGCCCGTGCCAAGACCGCACACGCCAGCCCCAGCCGCTCTTCACGGCCTCCCCATAACATTAACTGGAGGTGCGTGGCTCGCTGTGCTCCCTTGCATGGTAATGCTCTCCATCACCTACATTAGCAGCAGCTGTGCCAGGCTGGGGACACGCAGATGGGAACCTGGACTGTCCCTCCTGCTGGCTGGAGACCTGGCCCTTGCAGCCGCCAGGCTCAGGGTGGTTATGAGCCCTGCAGGAGGGATGGTTGCCCCCCAGCCACGCTCAGGGAATGGGGTCTGTGCCCAGCCACAAGCCCTGCGGATGGGGAGAAGAATGAGCTCGGGATTGGTGGTCCCAGGAGCCACCTCTGCCACGCTCTGGGCAACTCCACAGCTGCCCTTTGGTGAGAGCTGAGCCAGCCGCAGGGGTGATCTCCTGCCCTCCCGGAGAGGAGGATCCTCACCTCCTTTTACCCATCCTCTCCGCATCCCCAGGAGCCCCCAGGCTCAGGGACTGGCCTGTGGTGAGCACGGCTCAGTGCTGGGCACTTGCCCTCTTTGAAACCCCTCTCCTTTCCCACCTGCTCCCCCAGCTGCACGCACGGGGGACCCGCTGGGGTTGAGTGCTGCAGACAAAAGATTGTTTATCAGGACCCGCCGCAGCCTCTCCCGGCGCTGGCTTGCTTTAATTAGCCCCATCAAAGCCGGCTGCGTCTCTCCCTCCTGAAAGGTTGCAGAACATGATTAATTCAGGAGCAGAAAGCAGCCGCCTCCCGCAGAGAGGGGCCCCTCTGATAAGGCCAAAGCTGTTTCCTCTCCCCACGGCACCCTGCGTCTCTCAACCCCACACAGCGAGGTTGGGGGTTCCTTTCTCCTAGGGCAAAGCTGTGGATGAGCCCAGGCTGCCCCAAGAGCAGGAGGGGACAAGCAGGAGCGATGGCCTCATCAAGCCCTGGGTCTCTCTTCCCATCCCACCCATGATCCAAGCACGGCCGTTACCTGCTCCGGTCACCGCATCACCCATTTCTGTGGGTCTGCAGGTGGCACCGGCCACCAAAAGCCCCAGGAACACGCAGCAGGGATGTCACATCCCCACCAGGTCCAGGCTCACATCAGCTCAGGTTTCCACACGCTAGCCCTGGGGAGATGCAGGGGATGCCCCCGTTGCCCCCAGTGCTGAATTTCTATGGCCAGTCCTCCCCCCTCCGCGCAACCCAGGGTTGCACATGCCATAACTCAGCTTTATTAGGCTGCGTTTGTAGGCAAAAGGGTTTTAAAAGGAAAAAGCCTTTGGGGAAAAGAGATAGACAGGGGGGGGATCACTTCCCCCTTTTTATTTATGCCAGCAGGGCTGCACGCAGCGTATACCGACAGCATTCAATACCCCGGAGAGCCAATTACCGCAAGGAGCGCAGCCGGAGCCAAGGCTGGGCTGGTCTCCACTTAATTTTCTTAATACAGTCACATCGTCTCGGAAAAGCATTGCTGCTCAGGGGAAGGTACAAAGCGTGGTTCCCAGCGTGAATCCTCTGCCCCTGGGAGCGCGGGCAGAGCTCCCATCAAGGGAGCCCAAGGGCACACCACCTTTGGGGCTTCCCACACCACCAGCTTGGTGCTTGGTGGGGAGGAAGGGGCTGGGGAGCAGGGGTGGGGGGCACCCCCAGCAAGCACCGACACAATGCCGTTGTCAGGTTTTTATTTCAATCTCATGAACGTCCTTCCAAGAAGTCAAACCATGAGAAGAAAGCAATAGCGTTGAATCCCTGATGGGACAGCCCCCAAATTAACTGACCCAGGGGGAGTTGCGGGGAAAGGGAGGGGGTTTCCAGAAAGCTCAGGAGGCTGAACCACACAGATCTCACCCGTCCCCCCCCCAGGAGCCGCCCGGCAGCGTTCAGCCAGGAAAAGCCTCACCAGCCTTGTGCAACAGGACTGACGGGAGGGAAACATGTTCCTATAAACCCCTTCTGCGAAGCAAATCCCACAGCCCAGCGAGCCCCCCCGTGCACACCCCCAGGAGGGTCCCAGCTCAGTGTTAGGCTCCAGCTCTGCCGTGCCTGGAGAGCCAACACCAGACCCATCAGGTCACCCGGGTACCAAGCATCCTCCCTCCTACCCCAGCCCCACGCGGTGCCTGGCGGGCAGCCCTCACCGTGCTGCCTGCAGGGCTTTGTGTGCCCCCCAGGAATGAAAAACCACAGCTGCAGGGAAGACAGGGGGCAAAAGGGGGGTCAGGAATTCAATATATGTCTCTTCTCATGCATGTTAAAGCTGTTGCTGGTCTTGAAAGCCAATGGGCACAGCCATGTGGAAGCCGACCTCGGCTTCTGCCAGGGGGTCTGTGCCTAGAGACCCCATGGGACAGGCCTTCTAGCCCTTCACGCTGATCGACCCTTCTCTTGGATAAAGAGCAAGAGAGAAACCATCTCTGCAAGGGGAGCTCTGGCTGCTCCCTCCAGCCAGGCAACTGCAGTTCCCCAGCACAGGAGTGGCAAGAAGCCAGCTCCCTCCTCAGCACCGACCGCTCGTCTAACGCCAGCAGCGAAAGCGGTGCCACCCCAGAGACGCAAAGGAAACCCCACAGCACCTGGGCTGTCCTCAGACCACCAGGATGCACCCCACGCTGCCACCTCACGTGGGGCAGGACCACTTCAGCTGGGTGCAAATGGCCAGGCACCCTCAGAGGAGCACGGAAAGAAATGGACCTACTGCCTCCTCCTCTGCTCTGCACACAGGGAAGCCTTTATAGCTGGTCTGACACAGGAAGGTGGCCCCGACTGGGGAGAAGAAAAACACTGCTGAAAAGATCGAAGTCCACCAAACGGGGAGCGAAAAGGGGAAAGTGTCCCTTGCTTCCCAGGAGACTGCTGTGGCCGCAGCTGGGAGAAGCCATGTGGTGACTCCTCACATGAACATGTCATCATAGCCTGGAGGGGGAAGGTGGTCAGGATCTGGCCTGGAAAGAAATTCAGAGCAGAGTCAAAACCAGGACCAAGAGCTTAATCCCGCAGCAACAGGGATGAGCCAGGAGACCCAGCCCAAAGAGCAGGCTGGGAATTCCAGGCACGACCAAATACCTACCCAGATCTACCAGCCCCTAATGGGCCAAAGGGGTCGAATCTGGCGCCTGGTGGAACTGCTCCTGGGGGCAGCCGGCCTGGGATGCCCGACGAGGGGTCAATGCCGGGCCGTGGGAAGCTCGACCGGAGAGGATCCATGATCATTCCCCCACTCCGACCCCTGGGGAGAGGAAAGGCAGAGAAGGAGGTGAGATTGGCACTGGTGAGAAAGGAGCAAAGGGTTTCCCTGTGCCAGACCTCTGCTGCAGGAACGTCGAGCATGGGAGCGTGGGGTTAAGTGGTCACACAGCACGTGGGAAGGAAAGCACCCCTCACCCACCACAATCTAACCCTCGGCAGTAAGAGAGCCCGGAGCCAATGCCAAAACAGACACTCAGAGCAGCAGAGAGGCATCTTTCTTCTTCCCCTGGTTCCTGCAAGGAGCCTTTTAGTGCAGCAGCAAAGGCTGGTAAGTCCTGGTGAGCTGCTGAATGCCCCTGAAGGAAGCGCTAGACCCGCTGGCCCTTGCTGATGGTTTGTAGCCCCAGCCCTGCTCTCTGTCTCCCGGGCGAGCGGCACGTCATGCCCTGCGCAGTGTTGCAAGAGCTCACGGACCCAGCCTTTCCAAAGAGGTGCCTGGAAGTCATTTGCTGACCACGGCGGCTCCTCGGAGCTGCCCCACGCTGGGAGTGCCATTCCTCATGGTCGGCTTTGTGCAAACTCGGCTAGAGCCTCTGGACACCGCTGCCATCATACAAGTCATTAACAACGGCGCTAATGAGTTCCATTACGCCAGGCCAGCTGCCCAAAGCGCCCCGGGACAGCCAGGCCCCACGAGGATATGCCTGGGAGTCCGGGTCTCCAGCCTCAGCACTGGCAGGTGTCAGCGCCGAAATATGCTTCCATTTACACTCTTTTTTTGTCGTTTACAGAGAAACATCTGATGAAGGACTGGAGGTAGCAAGAGAAACAGGGCCCCTTCCCGCAACTGAACCCCCTCTCCTCGTGCTACCAAGTTTCCTTCCAGCCACCCAGGCTCCAAGCCTCTCCTTCCAGCCAGGCAGGACATTTTTAGCTGGCCCTTTTCTAGCCAAACCCATGGAGAACTAAGTCTTGCAAGAGGGGAAAAAATGCAATCCTCACAGGAGAGTGGTTCCAAAGAAGACTCCCCTGGGCCACAGGATGCTCTGCAACGACTCCAAGAGCTGTTTTTTGTCAGACTATGTGCTTTTAACTAGAATGCAAAATGACAGGCTCTGCTTGCCCAACCAAACCAAAGACCCAGAGACGTATCTGTGAAGATCAGTCCCTCAGACAAGCCCTGCTTCTACCCAGGCTTTCTCTCAAGTGCTTCAGACAGCCGGGAGGCTCACAACTGGGACTCGAGAATCTGTGGACTCGGCTTTAAGCCTCCCCTTCTCCAGACTGCCAGGCTGTAGACACAGCAGCTGGTAACATTTTAAATTAGAGGCTTACATTCACTTAACGACGTATTCAGCTTTGATTTACTGAAGGAATTACTGCATGTTAAATGAATACAAGCTGATTATTAAACAGACGCAGATTGCAACCTATCATCTATGCAAGAGACGGGATCTTATTACGATATTAGAACCATATTGAGGTTTAGCAACTGTCAATTGGTCCCTTGCAATTTCCACTGAGCAACTGTCCCATTGCCATCCACACTTAGAGACACTTTGCTGGATGCCTGAGCCAGAGAAGGTCCCCAGCCACCTCCACACATCCCAAGGGCAGAGCAGGGGATGCTCCCCGAGCACAAAAAGCACAACCTCTCCCAGGCATACTCACCCAAGAGGGTCCAGGTCTTCCCCACCAACAGCGAAGGGACTCAAGGGGGAAGGCCTGAAACACAGAACACAGAGAAAGGTTCAGTGAAGGGGAGACTGGTTGTGTGGAGTGAGCAGGAGCGAGTAAGCAGGCAGGGCAGTGCAGCCAGCTGTGCTCATGGGTGCTCTCCCACGGCAAGCCCTGCAACACCCAAAGGACCCTAGGACCTGCAGGACCAGCGTTGGGAGTCACCGCATGCCCAGGGCACGGCATTCGCTGCTCCAGGGTGCAGCTGGATGTGGCCACCGGTGTGCGTGGCAGGCTTGCAGGAAGCTTGCTGAGATGAAGGGGTCCCTGCCGTTCCCACTGCTCCGGCCTGGAGCTGTCTGTGGACTCCGGGAGTTTCCATGCCAGGGGCTTCCTGAGCGGTGTCAGGCGAGGCCAGGCTCTCCAGTGTGTCCCAGTTGGAGACACAATGACAGTCCTATTCCAGGAGTGCGAGGACAGTGGGGCGGTGAGCCTGCAGCCAGCTGTCACATCTCCTTGCCAATAATATGTGCCAATAACATGGTTTCAGAGCCATGCCCAGCTCCAGCCTGTCTGCCCAGGCCTCCCCGAGGAGCACTGCGCACCCTGAGCACCAGCAGACAGCACTGGGGTTAAAGAAGCAAGAGGTGACACGCAAGGCAGAAGCCACAGCCAGTCCCCAAGAGAAGGCAGAGCCACCACAGTGTCTCTGACTTCCAGACAAAGGGCATTACAGCTTGTGGGAGGAGAGAGGAGAGAGCCCATCTGCCATGTACAAGGGATGGCTGAGCATGACAGGGCCAGGGAGGGATGGTGAAGTGGATGCCTTGTGTCCCCTCTCCTCTGCTTTGCCAGCAAAAGTCCTTCCCACTGCTGTCCGTACTCTGCCAGCCCTGCAGCCCTGATGGTCCTTCAGCCAGCACAGAGCAGAGTCTCCCTCTTTCCACCTTTCACCTTCCCCCCAGCCCTGCACGCTGCCCTCTCCCTCCTGGGTCTGCAGATCTCCAGCTGCACCCCCAGGCAATGCCAAAGGAGGGTCAGACCAACGTACAGCTCCAGAACAGGCCATCTTAACAGGCCCCACAGTGCCCCAGCCCTGCACGCTGCCCTCTCCCTCCTGGGTCTGCAGATCTCCAGCTGCACCCCCAGGCAATGCCAAAGGAGGGTCAGACCAACGTACAGCTCCAGAACAGGCCATCTTAACAAGCCCCACAGTGGGCAACTTAAATCAAACCCAAGTATGTGGACTGAGACTGGCTGGGGAGAGTTCGAGTCCCCTTCAGTCCCCATCCTACGTGTGTGAGACAGGGCCCAGAGGTGAAGTTTGGAGAGTGGTGCCATGACCACATCCCTTCTAACGAAGGACCATCAGCAGCCATCCACTCTTCACTCACCAGGATGGTGCTCTCGCCCCTGGCGGCTGCCGAGGAGGAACCCTGAGGGGGTCGTAATCCTGGGGCAAGTCATCATCCTTCTCAGCCTCGGGCTCCTTTTTGGCCTTTTCTGCAGGGCCACTGAGGGGAGCGATGATGCCCGAAGCAATCCTTGTCCTCAGCTCCTCAGTGTTCTTGTACACCCTGCAGGGAGGAGAGGAGAGGTGGTGGGCTGGGGAGGCCATGGCACCTTGGTGCGAGGTGCTGGCCAGGCTGCGAGAGGGGTGGTGAGGGGACAGACAATCCCCGAGCATCGCTGGCACAAAACGTGTCCCCACGTGGCAGCACAGAGGGGATGGGAAAGGGCAAGAGCACTCAGTGGCACCAAACCCCTGACCTTGTTTGAGGGCAGAGGTGCCACTTAACCTGGGGAAATCCCTTGTGTTGTGGCCACAAGGAGACCAGTTTGCAATGGAGGAAACCACAGCACGTGGCACAGGTCTTTAGCAAGGCCACAGGGTGTCTGGTCCATGGTTGAAGCTGCAGCGCCACTGGGCAGCATCCACCCAGCACAGACAGGCAGGCAGTGCTCTGGAAAGAAAAGTGCTGGGCTGCCCCAGCCCGTTCCCAGGTGGGGTGGCTCTCTCTTGGGCTCTGACCCACAGTCCCACTACCCCTTAAATCTCTCTTGCCTGCCAGCAGAGCAGAGAAAGGCAGGGGGAGGCAGCTCTGGCTGCATTTCGGGGTTGGCTGGCTGCCCCCTGGGGTTTCTACTGGGGAGGAAAGTCCCCCAGGCTCCCTCTAACCCAGTCTCTGCCCCCCTGCCCCATGCCAGTGGGACATTTTCTCCCATAGAAAATGCCAGGAAACTGAGATTACTTGTGGAAATCATCCAGGTGCTCTGGGTTGATGTAGTCGGCCACTGCCAAGGTCACATCTGCCACCTTCTGAGAACTGCGATCCTGTCAAAAGAAAGGTGAAACACAGAGTGAGCAGCCTGGCAGAGCAGGGAATGAAGGAAGGAGCCTGGAGGCTTGGGACACAAGGAATGGGATCACCTGTCCCTGTGCTGTGCCCGAATCCCCAGGAGCAAACAAACCCCACTGTACAGCAAGGCTCTCCCTGCTCAGTCCCCCAATCCAGGCTGCAACAGGTGAGAGACTGAGCAAAAACACCCTGGGCAGGTGCTTGTGGGGAACAGGAGAAGAGATCGGCAGACAAATTCTGAGCTGGGAAGGGGACACAAAAGAGGCAACTTCTGGGCCAGAGTGTGCAAGGCAAACTGAAGGACAAACATTGCTGCAAGGTAGAACAAGTAACAGCAAAAATTTAAGAAATGAGCCCTGTCGTTCTTTGCATGTTTTGGGCAGCAGCAGCCGCTGCACCTGAAGGATCCCAAACCTGCAGGGACCAGCCTGGGTGCTCACCATGACGTTGAGGATCATGCTGTCTTCTACCATGATGGCCTTCAGCAGCAGCTCACGGGCATCGTCTGTGGACTTGTAGCGCAGCGTATACACCTCCTTGTTGGCCTCCCAGCCGTTGGGCAGCAGCTCCGACTTCCTTTCATCAGGACCTGGCTACAATAGGACAGACGTGCTACCAAGACCCTGCACAGGAGCCCAGCAAGACACAGAGTACTTATCCACACAAAGACCCGGGAGGGGATCTAGGTCTCTGGGAGGGGATCTAGGTCTCCTAGTGAGGATCTCTCAGTGCCTTCAGGAGAAGGGGTTTATTTTCTACAGACAGGCCCTGCCTGCCTGCCAGTCTGGCACAGGGTCCCTGTGCTGGAACAGGAGGGACACAACCACCCTTTGCTGAGCAGGAGGAGGCAACAAAGATTCAGACTGGGGGATGATGCTCTTCCCAGCCTGGCACCTCTTGGCTCCCCAGCACAGGACAGAGCTGTGAGGGGGGAGGCTGCTGTCCTGTTTGTCGCAGCCCCACAGTGGTGCAGCCGTGGGGGGGTCTGTCTTACTGTCCCCTCCTCTAGTACTGGGGGGTTGCTCTGCCAAGACTGTGCCCTGCACCCCCACCATTGCCCCCCAGCACTGCACTGGGCACCCTCCCAACACCCCCCAGCACTGCACAGGGCTCCCAACCCACCAGACCCCCCACCCTTCGCACTGGTCCAGCACCACACTGTCTTCCTCCCCATTATATCACACCAGAGTCCCCAGCACAGGGACTCCCCTGGCACACTACCCCCCAACATTGCACTGGACACCCCTCTTTTGGTAAGGGGTCCCCCTCCTCAGCACCAAGATCCCCCCGGCACCACAATGGACCCCTTTCTGCGATTGAACTGACTCCAAGCACCAACCCCCTCTGCCAGCACCACGCCCCCTCAGCCCCCACCACCAAAGCTCCCTGCTGCGGACGCCCCCCCAGCAGCACTGAGACCCCTCAGACCCCGCACCGGTCCGGGTGCCCCCGCACCCCCGGCGCCTTACGGTTCCCGCCCCCCCGACAGCGGGCGCCGGGCTCGGCCGAGCGGCGGCGGCGAGCGGCGCTAGGAAAGGCCGGGGCTTGTCCGCGGCCTACACGGCCTCCGCGACATTGGAGCCCGACGGCGCCCGGGCCCGGCCCGTACCTGGTCGCCAGCGCCGAGGCAGCGGTAGCCATGCCGGACCAGCTCCCAGTGGACGCCACAGATCAGCGCGTCCTGCGGGCGGGAGATGGCGGCCCGGGCCAAGGCGTAGAGCGGCTCCAGCCCCGCCATGGCCGCTCACCACCGAGCAGGCGCGGCCGGGCGCGGCCGGGCCTGCGGAGGAGCCGCCCCGGGCAAGGCCCTAGAGGCCGGGCCGGGCCCGCGTCGGGAAGCGGAGCGTCGCACCGGGCAGGCCGGGGCGGGACCGGGCCGCCCCTCACTAGAGGGCCCCCGATCCCCGCGCAGGGACCAGGACCGCCTCCCCCGAGGGCCCGGTGGGGGGCTCCGGCCGCCGCGGGAGGGGGGGTGCGGTGGGTGGGTACGTTCATCTCTGGAGGAGTTTAACGTTTATTCCCACAGCGGGAGGGACCGGCCTCACCGAGAGGGTCTCTGCCCACCGACACCGTGCGGCAGCCTGCGGGCTGGGGTCTGCCCAACCCTCCCTCTTCCTTCTCCTTCTCCTTCCCCATCCCCTTCTTCTACTTGCCCATCCCCTTCCCCATCCTTTTCCCCTTCCCATTCCCTTTTTCTACATCCCCTTCTTCTCCTTCCCCATCCTCTTCCCATCCCTTTTTTCTCCATCCCCTTCTCCATTCCCTTCTTCTCCTTACCCATCTCCTTCCTCCTCCCCTTCCCTACTCTCTTCTCCTTCCCTATCCTCTTCCCTGTGCTCTGCCCCTGGTTCTTCCTTGACACTTGTTTGAAAAGCATTAAACTCTGCGTCTGCTGCCATAGCAAGCCTTTTCCCTGGGACCAAAGGGACCAAAGCACTGAACGGCCATCGACAGGCTTATTTCATTCCTTCCACATCTCCTTTTCTCTGGGCCACAGTATTTGTAACGCCTAAATTCAGTTAAAGTTATCACTGAAAGGTATTGTAGGGACTTTTTTTCCTGTCAGTGTCCTCTATGTGGCTGGCAGGAGGCTGTGCCTCGGGGTGAAGCAGCCCTATGCCGGGGAACGCCATTGTCTGCTGCTTTCCCAACCCAAGCTCCAGCTCCTTGGGGATGCTCATCTTGACTTCATTATGCGTCAATTAATTAACTCGCACTGTCCGCTCTTTCCGTTTCCCCCTCAAGAAGTCACTGAGGCTGAACAATTGACCGCAGACCGGCGGGCCTGCCCTTCGCACGAATCATCACCGCGCTGGCCAGGGACCCACCGCACCTCTCGCTGTTCCCCCCGCCAGTCCCGGCTCGGTGGAAGATGGCCACGGCTTGAAAACCGAGTGACACACACCAGCTGTGCCGGACTCGGCAGCAAAGCTGCTGCTGATTTTCCACGGGGCCGGGATTTCAGCGCGGGAGCCTCGCAAGGGAGGCATCGGATGGGGATGTGATGAGAACAGCAGGAAATGCCTCAGCCGGAGCTTTTCCAGCGCTGGGCTTGTGATTCACAGCAGCAGGCAGCGTTTCCGCCCCACGGCTCGCTCCCGGCGGGCAGCAGCCGCGGTTGCAGGCTTTGACGGCATCCACATTTCACTTTCCCGGCACAGCCTGTCCCTGGGTGGATGAGCTGGGTACCGGTAGCTTCGTTCAATGCCTCCTCCTGAGGCAGAATTCGAAATCTTGGGTCTCCCTCCAGAAATCCCATCCCAAATCCTCTATCCCAGCACCTCTAACGGGCTTCCCGCCCTGCCTGTGGACCTGCTGCAGGTGCAGGAGCGTGTGGGTGTTTGGGATAGGCGATGGCAGGAGCTATCTCAAACACAGGGATGCCCTCGGTGGGGTGAGAGCAGCAGGAATTGCACAGAGGCCATGCCGAGTGCTTACCAGGCTTTTGTTGTTCCATCCAACTTGCTGCCATCCTTGTTCACCCACGGTCTGCTGCCCACCCTCTCACCCATCACTGCACGCTCCCGTCCAGCCATTGACTTGTCCTCCGTGTCCATCCTTAATTCATTTTTTTTAATTTATTTTTTTATATTTATTTATTATTTTATTAATTTATATCCTTAATTTATTTTCCCTCCCCCATGTCATGCTGGCTGCCCCAGACCACACACAAGGGGTAACTTTTGGTGCTGAGACCCTCCTTCCCCGACCCAAGCCAGCCCCTCCATGGCCACAGCATGGGGTAAAGCTGGATGCCTCCATGCGTCCCCTCTCCACAGGACCCTCCTCGGAACCGGGCCCCCACCGTACCTGAGCCCACAGCCCCTGGGGCTGGTGGCCACTACATCAAAGCTGCCTTTCCAGTGCCCGCGGTGCCTCTCCGCGCCGGCCCGCGCCGCCCGGCTCCCCGTCGCCTCCTTCCTCCGCTCCAGCGCCTCGCTCGTTCTGTGGCTCGTTGATGATGAAAACCACTGGCCACATGAAAGCGGCTCCCCTAACGCGAGTTAGGGGCCTGCAAGCTGTGTGGGAGGTAGCGGGCAGCGCAGCCCCGGCTGGGACGCAGCGGCCAAGTCATTAAACGAGGTGACGAGGATTGCAGAGCCGGCTCATTAGCGCTGCAAGGCAAGCGCGTCGCGTTGGCAGACGGGCATGCCAGTGCCGTCATCGGAGCAGCCGGAGCAAAGCCGGGAGTGGGAGCGATGCTGCAAGAGCTGAGCAAAGCCCCCTGAGCAGCCCGTGCCCCAAATGCCTGCATGTGTTCATGAGGATTCATGCCCAGCTCTTCCGCCAACCAGCACTGACCCTCCTGCCCGTGGAAATGCAGGGGAAGCTGGATGTGGCCCCTTTTCCTCCCTCTTTGACCTGAAAACGGGATCTATGGGGATCGTGGAGAGCTGCTCCCTGCAGGAGCGGGGCCAGGGTTGATGTCCCAGGGGAGGCGATGGCTGGAGCCGTCCCAACGGCGTGGTGGGGCTTGGGGCAGGTAGAGGGATGCATCAGCCGGGGTCACCTCCGTCACACAAACCACAGCCTCCCCTGACCTTCATACTTTCCCGCTGCCTCACTCCTCCTGGTGGATGCGCTCACTGCGGTGTCGTAACGAGCAGAAGAAGAAACAGATTTCCCAACCGCCCGCCCCGCTGGCAGCCCCGGAGCCCTCCGTGCTGGGAACGGCAGCCAGCACAGCCGGGGCAACTGGCTCCCCCTGTGCTGTGCCACATGTACCGGGTATGGCCCAGTGGGGTGGGAGAAGGCAAAGAGGGGCCGTGGATAATCCCTGGCTGATGTTCAGGTGTCCCGGGCTGCTGTCCTTTGGGAGCATCGTCCTTCCCTCAGGATCAGCTCGCTATTGCTCCTTTTCCATGGGTAGGGAAGCCCAAGCACATCACCTCACCCAGGGTGAGCAGCACTGGGTGCTGGGGGATGGCACTGCCATCCAGCAACAATTCCCAGTTCACAGCCGGAGGGAAGGAAGGAAAGGATCCTCTGCTGCAGAGCAGAGAAAGCCAGGGGTGTCGGGGAAGCCTCCTCCACGCTCTGCTCAACCACCTGGGGTTACTGGCACATAAGGAGCCACCTGAAGGTGACCAAAATCTCAGTGCCAAGGGACATTGGGAGGGACAGGACATTGGTAGCTCCTGGGACAGGCTTTGCCCCTCGCTTTCTCGGGGCTACCGTCATTGTCTTGAGAGGCGAGGTAGTCACTCCATGAAAATTTGGCCTCCTCTTCCTTTCCCCCAAATTCAATGCCAGGGAAAGATGACACCGAGGCAGGAGAAAGGGGGTTTTTCTCCGGGGAAGAAATTCAAACCACATGCGGACGGGCTCGCCGCAGTAGCAGGAGGAGGCACCGGGGCTGCGAGAGAGCAGGCTCTCAGCAGCGAGGCCAAATGTAAAGTCAATTAGCACTTTTCAGGGCTCTGAACACGCTTGAGTGCTGTGCTTCGAGCAGGCATAATCCCCGTTGGAGGGAGGCTGCCAATAGGGTTTGAAAATAATTAGGAAGCCCAAAGCCCCACTGCTTCCCAGAAAAGCCTGTTAGCTCTGCGGTGGAAACCTTGCTTGCAGGGAGTGCGACGCACAAACACAGTCGTGACTCATCAACTGGATGGAGCTAAACTCAATTTTTTGGAGGTCAACACGCTCAAATCCTAACGAGCTTCACCCTTGGTGGGGCTCCTGCACTCCCTTCGCCTGCCTTAATCCAGGGGATGCCTGACACGCCTGGGAGTAACAGGGATGGTTTCACGGGATGTGTGTCATCCAGAGATGTCAACACCTTCCTAAAGGCCAGTGGTGATGGGGAAACTGAGGCACAGAGTGCTAGAACCACCTGAGTGAGCAGAACAGAGGGCAGCAGCAACCCCAGTCCCCTGATCTACTGCCCCTGGCTGGAGCCTGCACCCCAGCAGCCCCATCCCTGCAACCCCGGGTGGACGCTGCCGTCCCCTCTTCTGCTCTCGAGGGACCTCAGACGTGAATCCGAATGGCTGGGGACAGCCTTGGAGGAACAAAACAAGACCATCAATCACCCTTGCTTCACTCCCGCCCCAGTCTGCAGGCTGAGCCGCGTTGCATTGTGTGGAGCCGGAGGGACCCCACATCAAAGCGGGGACCAGCTGGGCTGCGGGGCCGCCCCAGCGCCCAGACGGGCAGCGCCCTGCCCACGAGCTGCCTGTCTGCGCTGCCTGCCCGGCCTCTGCCTCTGCTCCTTCCCCGGGGCCAGGCAGCAAAGCTGGGATGCAAAACTGCTCCCTGCTCCGGGTACAGCGGGGGATGCCCGAGGCCACGTCGGCTGCGGAGACCATCAAAGGCGGGAGGGAGCGGATGCTGCCCCGGGGCCAGGACCCCATCGCAGCATCCCCAGGGCTGGCAGCACCTTCCTTCTGTGAGGGAGAGGAGGAGGAGGAGGAGGCACCGCATGCAGAGGTCCCATCCTGAGCTCATCCTGGAGCACTTCAGAGGCTGCATGAAGCCTGTGGAGCCGCAAGGGTCGGCACAGCCTGCTCCTGCGGTGCAGCTCCCGCTATCCTCACAAGACCCTTTTTCTTTGCAGTTCCTTCCATGACACATGGCGGTCGCTTGCCCCAGGCTGCTGCCCCAGCGCTGCTGCAGACAGTACATTCATTTTTTGGATGTCGTTTGCAGCTCCCCAGCGTTTCTCCCCATCCCAGGCACGCACGGATGGTATGAGGCAATGTTCTCGGGGAGTATCAGCTTCCCGGCGCAACGCTGTTGGGTAAGCGCTTGCCTTTCTTCTGAGGAGCTGGTGGCGAATATCCCCCAATGAAACCAGCCTGACGTGCTGCCTGGTGGGGCTGGGGACGGCCAAGGGGCAGCAG